CCATCAAATTTCATATTTGGTCAGCTCAAACCTCTCAGAACAACAAACGGCAAGCAATTCGGGTGTCATTCGACGCAGCTTTTTCTCCTCTTTGTATCGGCTGTTTTTTGTTTCAGAGTCACCAAGTTTCCTGGGATAGAATCATCATAATTCAGGTTTTCTAGAACGCCCCAGGTTATATTTGGAATTTTCGAAAGTTGCTAATTTGAAGCGGTGAATGCTCATTTGGTGTGTAAAATTAGTGTCAATCCATAATTCATCTTTGCAAGTTTCAAAATCCGAAGATTTATTGGTGTTTGATGCATTTAATTTGAAACAAGCCTACTAAAATTTGGTGGTTCCATCGAAAAATCTATACAAAAATTATGACGAGTTCTGAAAAGTAAAAAAAAGCTGTGCTGTTTCCTGTAGGGTTTGCTCTATCCATCCATCAACTCCTTCCGAGGATTGTTTTAAAAATTCAGAAAAAAATTGTGAAACTTGGCCTTCTCAAAAGCATGGGTCGCAGATTTTGATAATTCTTCGAGAAGTTATTGGATTCTGTGCAGTGGTTATATAACCATTAGAAAGAGAATGAAATGCTGCATCAACTACTACCAGAACCTCCTTATACGTCTTTGTTCCACGAGGTGTGGTGTACGTTTGAAAAAAGCGACATTACTTTCGGAACGACCTAATACATTGCATGAAGCAACAATTTTTGGAATTACGGAATTTTACCAAGCTTTGGTTCGTTCATTTGATAACCTTGAAGTACTCAACTATTAGCTGTCCGCTCCTTCATGTTTAGTTCGAAAAGGTTCTTTTTACTGCTCTTACAACCTCAAAGCTTCATCGTCAAATTTAGCTTGTATTAGGGAGCTATGTTAGTCGTAAATTTTGTAGTTTGTACTTTACCTAAAGTAAACTCTTTATTTGCCACTCGCATATTTTTGTTTTTTTTTGCAACCAGCTATGTCGTCATGGTAGGTTCACCTGCCTGCTTAAGCTGCAAGAAACGTTTTGATGTTCTTGAATTTAAGGCATCCATGTTTTGAAAAATTCAACTCTATATTGAGATTTTGCGCATTGTGATTCATTTGAAATCAAACACGGAACTATGTTTGAATCGTCCCTCTAGTGCTTGCTGTTTCTATTATTGATTTCGTTTCCAAATGCTTCAGATACTGATGTTGATTAATTCTTGATGAACTCATAATTAGAGCTATGTCGGACACGGATTGTAATTTCTCTATACATCATGCTCTATTGGAAATGTGAGGGCTTATAGCTTCGAAAATTAAATCGTTTGGTCGTGAGTATTTACTATAAATAACTTAATTCATTTTTCGCCACCTGCGTAGGCATTAATGACCTCTTTTTGGCCGTTATAGCTCTCTTTCTGCGGTCATTTACACCGTTTTGTATAAGTGACTAAGCTTTATCTTGGAATTTCCTTATTTGGGCATTCAAAATATATCCTTTCTATCCTTTCTTAAACCTTCATCATTTTGAATCCTCAAACTTGTGTGGAACACCTTTATGTTTGATTGAATTACGGACTCAGGAGAATTTGTATGTTGAAAATATGAGGTACTCTATTTTCGAATAAATTGAGCTACTTTTGATTTTGGATTTTCCCAAGGATATCATTCGATAGAGCGGAGCAAAGTCTATAAAATGTCCACCAAAGATCCACGTAAGTCTAATCCAGATAAATTTTTGAGCCAAAAATCAAAATTTTTCGGCTACCTTGAAAATCGGATCTCCTTACAAAAAATTCCTACGGACTTCCAACTTGGTCTTTATGTAGTAGACATATAGTAGCAGAAATGTATGGTGGATTGTTTTGGGAGCTCAAATATGATAAACAAGGATGGTTCAAAAATGCCAGAATGCCACTTTTCGGATTTTTCATGTAAAACTTAGTATTTCTCGATTATAAGAGCACATATAAAGGTAAGATTTTAAGGTTATATTTAGTAAGGCTTGCAGTATACAATTATATATGTAGGAGCAACTGTGGGGGGGGGGGGAGTTTGTCATATTTGAACTTCCTTTTTTCAATTTCTATGCGCGGAAAAATTTCAGTAAAGGCATATTTGAGTACTATTATATGCCTGCTGTAAAATGACCAAGTTGGAGGTCCGTAGGATATTCCCTCCTTTAAAAATCCAACTTTTAGGTGACATATATTTTCGATCGGTTTTAACCTTGCATGGAATGTGACTTAGGCGGTCTCTCGGTGGTCATTTTGTAGAGCTTGATATGCTCTATTGAATAATACCCTACCTCTTGGAAAAACAAAATTAAGAAAGGACTTTACTTTGAGACAATCTAATTTATGTAGAAGAAATGACTAGTAATATTATAAAACCATTATAAACGTTATTCTCTCCTTGCAAATCCTTTAATCTCGTTTGCAAAATTTGACGACCTTTCCTTTGCTCATATCAGTCAATGTTTTTTGCAGGTCAACGTCTATCACGCAATGTATTTTGATCATGCCCTCTTACAAGCGCCATTTAACTGTGCGTTTCTGTCATTGCCTTGAGAGACCATTTTGACGAAGAGGGTGAACGCTTAGTACGCCATCCTTCAAGTTGACGCTTGCTGGCTCGAACCGCGAGATGTCAAACTTTTGCGGAGGGGTCATCAAATCTCTATTAGGTAATACTCTAAGCCTCTTAAAAAAGCAAAAACAGCTTGAATTACTTAAGAAAGGACTGCCGCATGTGATAATAATCACAGAATTACCACGGACTTAGAAAATATAAAACTATCAAAACTGAGCTGATGCGGCATGGTTGTTTTTGTCGCAATTTTCGAGCTAATAGCTATACTAAAAACAAGGAGCATTTAACCAGTCCGCGAGCTGCCGCCGGTGTTGACAACTTCCCGCGATCTGCGCCAACCTGCCGGTATCTATGAGCCACCAGGTAGAGTAAATTACTATGCCCAGGTCAAAAAAGTGCACAGAGAAAATCTTCAGCCTGAGTCTCCCTTTATGCATGCTTGGGAAATATGAACCCATAAAGCTAATAAGCTAAGCAAATCGCGTCAAAGGGAGTACGAGAAGTGCTCTTTCATCAGCATGTAAACTTGGTCGCAAGAAGGACAATATGTACTAGGAGTACGGTTGGTATGAAAATGCACCTGCAGATTCTTGCATAAATTCCTGAACAGCCTAAGAGATGCCGAATAATTTCGTGCTTGACTTTAATTCGTTTTCTGCAGTATATTCTTTCGAAAAATTTTTTAAAGCATCTACTTTACTTTCCTGCAAAGTTTCGCTTTCAAAATAGCGACTGTCCACAAGCAGTTAGTCATCCAGTACTCCTTAGTTTACACTTTCCAATAATATGATATAATATTCGCACACGAAATAATTCGTAACGTTCCTACAAACCGTTCAAAAGAATCATATTCTCTCTCAACTTAAAACAATATCTCAATGGATGATTCATGAGCCAGGAATAACTTCATCGACACTGAAGAAAGCTAGGTAGTCTGGCACTTTTTTGAACGCAATAATCTGACGGATTTCAGAACGTTTTCTCCTTTGTATTTGTGTCATGGAGAAGAAACCATTCGGTTTCGGTCGCATTCACTGTGCTTCCCTTTATTCTTGTGCCATCGTGCTTTTTTCGACTGATTTTCTGTGCACTAGAGGTGCTAAATGAGACAGTCGCCCGTAGTAAAGCTGCTTCATTCGATCTCAGCTGAATAAAATTTCAGTTGAGGCTTCGACGAGTCAGCTTGCCTTCAGTCGAGCCATTGATTGATATTGCCGACCACCCACGATGATAAGATTGAGAGCACCACGTCCATGCAAGTATACGAGTCAAGACGAGTTTGCCAAACATTCACATCTACGTCATTGGCACTAGCGGCGGGGATGTGGCCGCACTTGTTAGATCTTCTTAAGTCGTCAGCATCACTGTGGCTCTTCACCAACATGTTAAACTGACGTGTATCGTAAGTTACTCAGGAGTAACTTACGAGAAAAATTCTCTGCGTATCATCATTGACACACTATTCAAATCAATTGATAGTCTAACTGAATGTGGGCTGACTAAAGTAAGGTAGACTACCTCGTCAGATAGACGGACGGTCAGCTGAAATTTCATTTTGCATTCTTACTACATGGGAAGCTGGTGATAGGCAGTCTACCTTACCGAATCTTGGATGAGGGCCTCAGTTCAGTTCACCTGAACTGAATTAGCTTTACTACGGGCCAGTGTTCTTGCCTCAGATATACGAGGTGTCACCGCGTGTTCATTCCATGCGGCATCGAGTTGTATTTGATCTGGTGCTTTATTTTGTTTCTTCAGAAATGATAGCAAAACCAAGACATTGATGAAGGCACCAACCAAGTTAGAACTGAAGGTTAGGTTGAAGCGAAATGATGCATTCCTTATCCTACCTCGGCAGAGAGGACATAAAAATGTACGGAACTAACTTTTAATAAGACAAAACAAGCTTTTTATGATGGCTTCAAAACAATCACAAAAAGTTCTATAAAAAATTTTGAAAAATCCAAAATGGGATTTTGGATCTTTCAAAATTATGCAAACTTACACTGCTGAAGCAAGCTGCTTATCGCTATAATGGTTCTATGGTAAAAACCATCCTACACATGATAATAAATTCTAAGTGTAGCGTTTTTCAAGGACTAATTGCTGAGGAACGCCAAATTAGATGGTAAAAAAAATCGGCAAGTGACTTATGTAAGCCCAGTGCGGGTAGCCCATGCTCACAAACTCAGGGTTCGCAGAAGTTTTTTAGAGGGAGTTTTAAATTTCAGGTTTTCAGAATTTCTTCAAATTTCTTCCAAACTGCCGTGTATGGAACATTTGCGAATTATGAACGTCATCGTAAGAGATTGATTCGCTATATCGAATGATATGTCCCACATAAATTTAACTTTTCTCCGATGGGGCAGGATGAGGAACGCATTGATTTCGCATCAACTAGTAAAATCGTCTTCCAGGTGAAATGTACACGCGGATAGCTTGCGCTTACCGACCGACAAGACAGATTCTTGTATCGGTCAAAGATTTTCGTCGATATATATATGGGGCAAAGATGCTCACATCGCAAATTGGTTGCTTCTCATAATCAACTTTTTTTAGTTGGCATTCATACTGAATTCTTCCATGAGACATAAGAGCGCACGATAAGTTTGGAATCGATGGCGGTAGCCAAAAAGGTCGCCCACCAGGGCCTAAATAGACGTTTTTTCTAATGTGCTGCATCAAAATGGGAATTGAAAATATTACCGGCCACTTGCACAACCATGAGGGTCACCTGTAAAGTTTTGTATAAGAGATAAGTAAAAATGCATATTTTACTAGCATGAAGTTCGCTGCGGTGCCGAATACGCACAAGCAAATGACCATGCCAAATTTGGAGAAATTTGGGTCTGTACCTATTTTACAGTGCATTTTAGCGCACAGGGAAGACAATTTTGTTGCGCGCGTCAGCACAGCAGGACATTATATTAGGTCGTTCCGAAAGCAATGTCGCTTTTTCAAACAAACGCCACATTTTATGGAATCAAGATTTTCGAGAGATCTTAGAAGCATTCGATGCAGCATTTCATCCTCTATCTAATGGTTGTAATCTCGTTGCATAATATTCAATGGCCTCTCGAAAAATTACCAAAACCTGCGACACGTGGTTCCCACCATGGTCAAGTTCGGCTATTTTTCTAAATTTTTGTATCTAATCTCCGAAGAAATACAAGTGACAGGTAAATAGAGCAAACCCTATAGGACACAAAGTAATTTTTTGCTTTTCCTTAGCTTGCTTCTTAGAGTTTCTGGAGTCAATTCTTCAGTGCCATCAATTTCTATCTGGCCAGCTCAAACCTCACAGAACAACAAACGGCAAGCAACTCGGGTGTCATTCGACGCAGCTTCTTCTTCTCTTTCTACAGTTGTTTCTTGTCTTCAATTCATCAAGTTTTCCTGGATAAAATCATCATAATTCAGGTTTTCCGGGGCGCTCCAGGCTCTACCCTGAATTTTCGAAACTTGCTAATCCGAGGTGGTGAATGCTCATTTGGTTTGTAAAATTAGTTTCAAACAATAATCCATCTTTGTAAGTTCTTGTGCATTCAATAAATAAATAATTCCTGATGAACAATCAAAGCTATTGTCGGACTTTGATATCTACATCTATTCGCAATGAATTTACGCCCACCCACCGCAGATGTTGAAAGCTGCAAAAAACACCATAATAACAATCTAGGGTTGGCGTACGCTATAACTCACAATGACGAATGGAATCACTATGGTTCCAAGAGTATATGTCTGTCTATCGTTGGGCTATTTCACCTATTCGCGTAAGAATGTTGTCTTGCTAATCCTAGGTCGCTAAGATTCTTGGTCACCACTCAGCGATGTTTTTTGTATAATTCTTTTGGTCCACTGGAGCTTGTGAGAACTTGTAGTGGAAAATATGTCCTGCAACACTACAAACATCTTCCATAGTAGATTCCGCAGTTTAAACTGCTTTTGGAATCAGAGTGGTAGAATCTATCAAATTGTGACTGATTTTTGCAACGGACAGCTCACAAGGTACACGTACAACACCGCTCGTATTTTTTTGAAAAAAAAAAGACGCACAGTCGCCCGACTTTGGTGACATCACCGTAGTGCAGCCATATCTCGCTCCAGAATGGACGAATCTTCAATCCAAGGTCACCATTCGACTCAGCTCGGCGCGGTGCATCTTCCGATATATAGAATTGCCTGTTTGCACACAGTAGGAGACCAGTTTCCACGAATCGTTTCAGATTTTTGCTTACGGTAGGTTACTCAGTGTACTTGTTCATCGCACCACCGGGCAACCTACCGTAAGCAAAAATTTTGAACGATTCGTGGAATCTGGCCTCTTACTCCTTTAAGCAAGCAATTCTATGTATCAAAAGATGCATTGAGCGGAGTCGAATAATGCCCTTTAATTAAGAATTTCCTCATTCTGAAGCGAGATACGATCACGCTACGGTAATGTCACATAAATTGGGCGACTGAGCGTCGTTTTTTATTTCAAAAATTACGAGCGGTATTGTTACTAAAGTACTTCCACTGCTTTTGAAACTCGTAATTATTACTATTTACTATTTTACTATTACTTTACTATTTTTACTTTTACTTTACTACAGCACTGGCAGTGCCGCTTTTCAAAACTGCGTTTTAAACGCAATAAAACGCCGGAAGTGCCGCATTGCTATAGCTTTCTTCAGGTTACTCCTATAGAGCTCTGGTTAAAATATTTGAAACCAACGCTGTCTGATGCATCCGATAGTATGTTCAAAAATTGGAAAATTCACAATTTTTTTGTGCCCTCCGGCGCAATAAACGCGATATTGCGTCGTAAGTGCCGCATTCGAATAGCTTCCCACAAAGCTACTCTTTTTGATTCACTTTATTATATTTGGACTCGGCACTGTTTGCTCTATCCGACAATATATTTAAAATCTGGAAAAGTCAATTTTTTCATGTGCCGCAGGGCGCAATAAACGCGTTTTTGCGTCGGAAGTGCCGCATTGTTATAACTGCCTTCAAAATTATCGCACAAAGCTCATGTTTACACAGTTGTCATCAGTGTCCCTTGAGCTATCCGCCAATATGTTTGAACATTTGAAAATCTCAATTTTCAGTGAATTACACGCTCTGATTCTTTTTGATCCCTTTTGGGGCACTGATAAGCTGATAACAATCTTCAAAGTAATCGTACACAATTCTGAATAACATATTTAAAACCAGCTCTTTGTCAGCTATCCAATGATGTGTTTAAAAACCTGAAAATCTCAAATTTTTTATTTCCGATTTTATTGGTCCCTCATATCGGTATTATTAGCTAGGCTGGCCCCGGCCCCTGGCCGCAGTGACCTATCAGTATCGATTATTGCGGTCAAGATCGGTTGTTATCAGAATACAAAATTGATTTTTACTTGTTGACTTCAACATTCCGAAAGTGTGGTACTTACTGAATTTGTAATTTGAAATCATGAACTTCAGTTTTTGAAATTCATCGAAATTTAGAAATCACTCCTAATTAATTCAGAAATTCCAGGTCACGGTAGCACAAGGATTTCCAGTTTCCGCTTTGGGACAGAGAGTGCCAGTTTTCTGATCGCAATTTGAAATCTCCAATCGATCACTTCTCCTGGCCTATCTGAGAATTAGCAAAAAATCATAACTTCTGATTTGGAAACCCAAACTCGAAGTCTTAACAATTTTGATAGATTTTTTAGCCAAAGTAAGATTTGAATAGCAAAAATAATGATTTTTGATTTCGAAGAGCCTCGCTTCAATTCTTGCCGTATCATGTATTCAAGCTACTGAGATTTCAATGGCAAAGATCATATTTTCTGATTTTTGAAATGCCTAGCACATTTGATCAAAATGCAACTATTAGTAATCACCGTTTCTTTCCAAGTCAATCAGTATTTGGAAAGCCTTGGATAACTTCGCACCTTTGGACATGCCTATGTCAGCTGAGTGCAGTTGCACCCAAATCGATTGGATAAAATAAACACAGCTAAACATATTTTTGTAACCAGATCACTTTAAGTTGTTAAAATAGAAAGTAGACTTACATTTTTACCCGTACACTGAATGTACAGTGCATATGGAATTCAATTTTCAACACGAACTCTATTTTTAAAATTTTCTGAAAATTTTAGAAATTACCGAAAAAATAAGCAAATGACGTCAAAATCTTGAGAATCTGATATCTTGAAAATCGCATAAATTTGTATGGTTTTTCTTTCTGAAAACATAAATATATGTAATTTTCAAAATATCAATGTAAAATTTGGGAGTTTTTGCGAGTAGTCGTGTGAACACAGGTGTGAATGGAAAGTCAACATTCATAGGTACTTTGTTTCTCCTAGGTTTCCAATTTACAGTCAATCCAATAATTTAGTCTTTTATAGTGAGCCTTGAAACTTTTGCCAGATTGAAGCCACATAGATGATTTTCAAAATTTCAAAATAATTCTGAAAAGTTTGTGTGCTAACTTCATATTTTCTGAAATTATACAGCTTCGATAGTCTAAATTTACAAAAACAAGTAATGCGTCTGCATATATTCTGCACAGAATTGGTTCAGGCGCATCTGCACCCAGCTGACACAACCGGGTCCTAAGGTGCGAAGTTATCTAACGGATGCCATCCAGATATCGATTATTTTGGAAAGAATGTGATTTTTAATAGTTTCAAGATTTGTTGAAATGAGCTAGGCTTCTCAAAAATCAGAAAATATGTTATTTGTTATTGAAATTTCGCATAGCTAGGCATGATAAAATTTCGCAAGAATTGAAGCTAGGTTTCAAAATCCCACATCAGCCAAAAAATATAAAGTCGATAAGAATTTGAGTTTGGACTCTCAAAAGACAGAGAATATGATGCCGCCTTTTCATCAGTATTCTGGTAGTTTCTTTACCGAAATAAAATACAGCCGTTTTGAGAAATTAAGGGTCTTGACAGTATTGGTCTAAAATTATGACTCGAGGATCAATCATTCATTCTATTCAGGACGGAAACATATTTTATTGGCTGGAATAGAACTGAGAATAAAAGATTTTGATGTGGGGAACTCAAAAAAGTAGAATTTTTTGTTAAAGCTACAACGTAGACTCTACTCACAAACCGATAGCAGGTATTTCAAAAAAGTTCCATTGATCTTATTATTGGATCGCAGCCTTAATAAGTAAAAGATATCTCAATCCTTGCACTGAGAAAGCTTTTTGAAAACACGATCGGATCTACGCGCTCTTAAAGCCAATATTGCAGTTCGTTTGGGGCACTGGAATCCTCACCACGGGCAATCACACATCGGAAGGCATTGCAGCCGAATTTCTTCACACAAAAAGGTCGTCAAATCATTCCAACAAGATCATAACTGGAGCTCTTTTTTGCTTCGATTTTCTTTGAATGGTATAAGGCCTTTCGCACAAAAAAATACAGTGTAACATGTTCATCTTATATATAAAGCTGAATGTCTGTTTGTATGTCTGTCTGTCTGTATGTATGTATGTATGTATGTATGTACGTATGTTCCGAATAGAAAATTCCATTTCTGAACCGATCCGGACCAAACTTGGCACACATACACTACGGGCCCCGGCGGGTGTCATAGGCTACTTTTCGTCATCGATCGATATCGATTTTATCGATTTTTATCGATTTTTTTGCTGAGTGCACCTACGGGGCTGGGAGTTGGCACAGGGGGGTAATCGAGCATGGGGATTCCGAATACAATATTGGTTTTCAGGATTATCGATTA